CCGACCGCAGGTATTGTGGTCAATGCAAACATGACTCCTTGTAAAAAAGGTATCAGTTTTGTTGCCAGAAAATAGGGTAAAAAAACAATTATCATATTTTGCTACTGGCAAAGGAGGTTCCAATGGTGTTTATATATACACAGATGTTTATATACAGGTATTTGTCTATATATACAGTATCTACAGGTGTTTATATATCTATAGGTGTTTATATATGTTTACAGGTGTATATATACAGAGTAATAACTTCTATGCTTTTAAAAACAAATATAAACAGGTATATACAGGTGTTTGTGTGTATACAGATGTGTTTATATACAGGTATATACAGATGTATTATCCTCAGGTGTTAAAATATGTACAGATGTGTATATATACAAGTGTCTATATACATAGGTGTCAGGTGTGTATATATATACAGGTTAAATCTTGAATGAAAGCTTTCGTGACTGCAGGAATTAATATTCTTTTGGTCTTTCGGTAAAGTCACGTAGAAATAATAATAAAAAAATAACAATATCACGACGTTTCGATCACAACACAAGCAATCGTCATCAGGTGAGAGCTGCTGAGAATATATGGTGGGAGCGCTGCTAAGGTCAGGATTTAGAAAGGTTTGGGATGGGTGTAGCCCAAGGGTCAGTGGGAGGGGATAGAGATGAAATTTGCATGTAAATGTAAAATCGGGTAAATCTTGACAAACGAAGCTGTGGGGGTGGCCATTGTATTATGCAGGGTGGGGCTGGGTGGGGAGGAAAGGGTGGGGAGGGGCTGGGTGGGGAGGGTGGGGCTGGGTGGGGAGGGGAGGGTGGGAGGGGTTGGGTGGGGAGGGTGGGGAGGGGTTGGGTGTGGAAGGTGGGGCTGGGTGGGGAGGGGCTGGTCACCTCGTGGTGCCCTTATAAAAACTCAACGATTAACCTACTCACGCCTCACAGTCGGCCATATTTGCGGAATATACCATGCCGCCGTTGACCCTGGCCATTGACCGAGCAACCCAACGTTCCTACCAGCTCCCTCCGCAGGAATGTGTTAAATATGTATGCAAATTAAAGCTCTAAGAGAGCTCAGAAAGAGCTATCGCCACATGGAGGTGGAAGAGGATGGCAAGAATATAATATATACACAGGTGTTTATATATGTAATGCGTATGCTGGGTTTCGCCGCCCCAGCCCCTAAGCCAACCAGGCGCCACGAACCATCGGGGGCAGGGTTTAAGGGCGGAGTCCGCAGGCGTTAGGGGGTGGTATTATCTGGAAAGTTCTTAAGGGGTGTGGCGAAGGGTGGAGTCTGGGTGACGTGGGAAGAGGATATAAGGGGGAGCCGGAAGGGGCTCGTGGTTTCAGTTGTTGGAAGCTGGAAGCTGGGCCACGTCGGGGGTCTCCGCGAGCCATCGGCCACGTGGCAACGCGGAGACGGCTCCCAACGCGCCGTCTGCCAGCGGTGCGCGGGAGCGGAGAAGCGAGAGAGCGGCGCGAGAGCGGGACGTCAGCCCCCCCTGATGTGCCGCGGAACGGCCGGGAGAGCGGAACGTGAGCTGCCCAAATAACGAAGAAATAAAGAGACAGAGACACAGTCGCTTGTCGTCGACCTGTTTTATTACATATATATGCTGGTGTTTGTATATATACAGGTATTTGGCGATATACAGGTGTTTGTATATTTCCATGTATTTATATATGTAGTTCCTGAAAGTATGCGTCACGCGCGGAGGTCGGTGTGCACGCACGCGGCATACAATGGGAGCAAATAAGGACGCAGGGCGCTGATTGGCCGAGAGGGTGTTGTTGTCGCGGAGTGGCGCCGCATTGTCTGGAAAAACATGCCAAGTGGCAGCGGGGGGCTGGGGGTGAGTGGCGTCGTGGGGGATGCTCCTCATTAATTGGGGATTAATTGGCTCTGGGATAAAGACAGGGGTTTTTGGAGGAGATGGGAGTTCGCGCCTGGGAGGAGACAGAGGATGGAAGAGTTGGAGCAGCAGAGCTAATAACAGTATAGGGTAGCAGTGGAGAAGCGTAGGGTAGCAGTGGAGAAGTGTAGGGTAGCAGTGGAGAAGTGTAGAGTAACAGTGAGACGACGAAGCCAGTAGGAAGCGGCTGGAGTGTGGGAAGAGAAGCTAATGTCGTTACGACAGAGTGGGACGGCGGAGCTGATAAAGAGCAGCCGAACTGTGGCGGAGAGTGGAGAGGAGAGTCGACGGAGAAGTGATGGGGAGCGAGTGAGGCCGGCAGAACGCGGCGAGCGAGTGGAGAGCGCGGAGGAGAACTGTGGATTGGTGTTACAAGAGGAACGTTGAGCGATTTTGGATGGAGGAGTGTTGATCGAAATACGTTAAATAAAGGAAAGAGGAAAGACAGAAGCTGTCGTGTCGGTTCGAGCACTACATATACATGGGTGTATATATATAGATGTGTGTATGTATAGGTGTGTAAAGCAGGGTGTTTTAAAAAGATAGACCCGATTTAAAAGCAGTACTGCTTTGAAATTGGGTATTTTTAAAACACCCTGTAGAAACACAAAGGTTTGTGTAAATATGTATATATGTGGGGAGCAGTGGCATAGGGATTAGTGCGCTAAGCTACACTACAAATCCGGCCGCACGAGATCGATTCCCGCTCATGGCCAACACCAGTGACCGGTCCTGGGCCTCCCCTAGGTCGACTCAGCCTCAAATTAGTACCTGTGTGGTTTGAAGTAAACATCGCGGCCACGTGTGGTGGTGGCCACCCACCCCCCAGTGTGTGCTGGCTAACAACACTTGCCCCAACAGTCCGTTAAAGGCTATACGGGTGATCTTTGTCCTTGTTTATATATGTGTGTGTATTTTACCGTATAGGGAGGGACGTGTCCAACACTAACCTATTGACTGTTCTCAAAAATGTTGTTACCTTTAGCCATTGTCTACTGTAAGTCGCGCGTCCATATTTACGTCTCATTGTCTTTACAATCCGGCAACTCCCCGCCACTGAGTTGATTCTATAGTGCAGTGTTCAGACTGTGACGCAGTGTTGATTCTATCGGGCAGTGTTGAGTGTATGGGGCGTTGTCGAGTCTATGGGTAGCAGTGTTGAGTCAGGGGTGCAGTGTAGCATCTGTGGTTTCGTGTGAGTCTGTGGACAGTGTTGAGTCTATGGGCAGCGTTTATTATATAGGTCTCTATGTCAGTCTATGGGTCTGTGTGAGTCTATAAATATCTATGCAATTATATGACCCATTGTGTCAGTCATCGTTTAACCGGACAGATGTCATCATACGTTGATTAATCACGTATCTTCATCTGTGCGAAATAAAAATTATACTGCCTCTGTATGCCACGTGTCAGATATTAACCACAAACTTTAAATTCTGCACCATTTGCAGCTCTTTAGTCATGTCTGGTGGTGTCACGTTACGCCGTGTAATGCAATTCACATTCATGACGCCGCTATGTAAAATTAAAGCGCTATTATTAACTAAATTTTTTTACTGCTTAAACACGTTGCACCTTTATGCCATACATCTCCCACTCCTAAAAGCATCATGATCATATTCAGACTGCACCTATAGACAATTATATACGACAGACGGAGGGGTGATTGAGTGGGTGATTGGCTGGGTGGGTGATTGATTGGGTGGGCGGGTGATGGATTGGGTGGGCGGGTGATTGATTGAGAGGGTGGGTGATTGTTTGGGTGGGTGGGTGGTTGATTGGGCGGGTGGGAGATTGATTGGGTGGGAGGGAGGGTGGGTGATTGATTGGGTGGGTGATTGAATGGGTGGGTAGGTGGGTAATTGATTGGGTGGGTGGGTGATTGATTGAGTCAGAAAGTTACAACAACAAACAATATAAAAAACACGATAGGAGTAAGTAAATAACCCAAACACATTTTTGTAACCAGATAAAGCCCACTGAGCTATTAGCTTTTTCAGAAGAAACCTGGCTATTACAAATGAAATGGGAGCGGCCAAATGACCTAAGTAATTGAAGCGCATGTTTCTTCATGCGAGGGGAATAACCGGAGGACCTGGAGAGAAAATGACATGCGACTACGGAGAGAACACATGGTTGTTGGTGGTTGGAGGAGTGTTTGAATTATTTAGCAAAGTGATCAGTTGTTTTGCTTCGATCCCTACGAGGTTAATGATGTAAAATGTGAAGGAGCCAGGTTGGGTGCATTGCCTTGTATCGGCAGGGATGTAAGTACTCCAACAGGGAATGTATGTACTCGTGCAATTTGCACTCATATATTGTATCTATATTTACGTATTTGTTTTTTGTGCCTTGCTTAACTTTTCTCTTTCTTGCACTCCTATCGGTGTTTTGTGTAATTATTTTCGTTGTTGTAACTTGACACTCTCAGAGATAGATCGAGACGCATAGAGATAGAAAGTAACCCACAGTGATACATCGAGAGACAGGCTCATATAAATATAACTTGCTGAGCTGGTGCCCCTACTGGGAAACGTATAAAAATAGCTTCATAGCTCATCGGATTCCTCCTCCAGTCTAAATAAAAAATCGGATACTGTATTGTTAATTATATATTGATATCGTATCATACTCGATGAGATAGTGATGGGCTTTGTAAAACCTTATTTCAAGTGTCTATTGACTATTGCTGCTGCTCCTGCTGATGATGTGGTATGTGTAGTGATAGGGCTCGTGATGGGGTAGTGGTACGGGTAGTGGTAAGGGTGGTGATAGTGGTAATGATGGGGTAGTGATGGGTAGTGGTCGATGTAGTGATCGGGGTAGTGATATTGCAGTAATGCGGTAGTGGAACATGTAGTGATAGGGGTAGTGGTAGGTGTTGTGGTTTGGGGTCGTGATACGGGTCGTGATGGGGTACTGGTACATGCCTTGATAGGCTTAAGTAATAGGGGTTGGGGTAGACCTGGTCGTAGCTGGGTGTCGGGGTCAGGGAGTATCAGGATGATGATGCTGGGCTAGGAAGAAGAGATGGAAGTTTTCTAATGGAGGAACGGAAGCTGATGAATTTATTTTCCACCATATGTAGCCAACCGTGCTAATCAGACATGAGTTGATGACGATGATGATGATAACGATGGTTAATTATTTGGGCAACATTTATTTACATGTCATTTTTCCCCCTTCCCATTTAGATAACAAGCGCGCAGGTCCACACCTGGTACAGCTGTGTCCTATCAGCTACAAAGCGGAAAGATATTAAACAATGTTTTCGCTCGGTTTGCTCAAAAAGACAGTCGTCGCACTCACATTGCTGGTCATGTTACTTTATGTTCTGGACATCCTCCGTCAAGTACATAACAACTCGAAGCTCGTCATAACGTCGATGAACGATGTCCTACAACAGTTGAGCACAGGAATCGATGCTGGTCCTGACCCAGTTTTCCACAAAGTGGGGCAGACCCAGGCGCTTGCCTTCTCCGCGTATCTGGACGTCCGCGACGAGGGACGTCCATTCGTCCGGGTCTTTGTCCTGGCCCCGAGAGATATAAACTACAACCACTTCACCTGCCAACTTTTCTACCGGGACCCACCCACTGTAATGAACGTTTCTGCCAAGGAAGATCGCATCAGCAGCCACTTTGGCTTCAGGTACGGCGTCTACAATTTCCTTTGCAACGTCCCTGATCGCACGCCTTACCCGAGCCACGTGAGCCTCACGGACAAGGCCTCGGACTCGGCGGAACCTTTTCTCTCATCGATCCCCGTGGTGGCGCCCGGCGATTCGGTGGCAAGGTACGACTTTGCCGTGTGCCTTCCGACCCTATTCGGGGCGTTCAACAACTCCCTCATCCTCGTGCAGAACCTGGAGATGTACCGCATCCTAGGAGCAGGCATCGTAACTGTCTACAACACCAGCGTGAGCCCAATCGTGAACCGAATACTCACGCATTACAGCCGTGTCGGTTTTCTCGAGGTCGTGCAGTGGCCCATTGAGAATTACCTCAATCCATCCAAAGGCTGGAGGCCCGACATTCACCCAGGCGAGCTTCACTACTACGGGCAGATAGCCACGATGAACGACTGCTTATATAGGAACATGTACAGGGCCAAATACATCTCCTTCGCCGACGCTGATGAAGTCATCCTGCCGAGGCAGTGGTCAAACTGGGCAGATATGATGAGAGCGATAGATGTCCACCAGTCCACCTCAGCTTTCTACTTCACCCTCCACACGTTTCCGATAACGAACGAGGCCACGTGGACATCGCCCCTGGGTGGGCAGGCCAGCGGGACGGACATCCTGAATCAAACCGCAAAGCAGATTCCACCCGCCGACACAAAGGACGCCACCACGAAGATACTGGGGTGTCCCAAGGGGCTGGTCTACGTCTCGGTCAACACCGTCCTCGTGAGTCGCCCGGGCTACAGAGTTCACACTGTCCCAGATGCGGAGGGCACTCTGCAGCATTACAAGAGGTGGAAGAAGGAGTGGCAGCTGCCGGACAGTTCTGTTTTGATGCGTGACTTTCACGTGCAGAATATCTTTGGCAGCTTGCTCTCAAGAGCCTGGATGAATTGCGTGAATCCTCAGCCAGTGAATGATTATGAATTCACTTTTGATGACCGGTCCCGAAGATCAGCAATTAAGTTAAGCCTCAACACGATGAAAAGGCTGTGTTACCCTTTCTGGCAAAAATACAGGATGGGTTAAGATGTGTATATACCAAATATACATGTATTGGAAGGCATAAAGTTGGCATAAATCACACATCATCCTTGTGGTAAAACATGCAGACAAACACTGCTTTGAAAATAATGTACACATTCTCCTTGAAACTTTTTGGCTTCATCAGAGACAGTGTTCATCGCGTGAACACTGTCTATTAACGAGGTGTTTCGGTTGGGGGAGGGTCTATGACACATGTTACTTAATGCTGCAATCTGACCCAAAGTAAAATCCATTGTAAAACAAACTTATTTCGTTTGATGGGTAATTAATAGCACTTTCGCGGTGGCGAGATGTTAACTCCCTCGCCTGGTATACAGGAGTTCGTGGGTTCGATCCCGACCCTGACTTCTGTATATTTGGAGTGTGCATGTTCTCCCCGTGGTCGCGTGTATTTTTCTCCGGGTCCTTTGATGTTTATCTTCCACGTTTATAAACATGCGTTTCAAATATTTGGCTTCTGTACATTTCCACATGATAAGCTACTTTGTTGAGCTATAATTTGTGGCCAGGTCGCTTCAGAAAAAGAGCTAAAATAAAAACGGTAAAACGTTAAACAGTTTAAATCTCTGCTGGGGATGAGCCATGCGAGTGCTGCGTTACTTGTTGTTATCCTATCCTGCGGGGTTTGTGGCAGCTCTGTGCTAGTGGAATATGCTGCTGAACGTCCTCTGCCACCTCGGCCAAACACACCTCCACGCAATGCGAGAGTCGAGTGCGAGCGGCTCCCAGCATCAAACGGGCACCGTGACGGCACTGAGCCACGAGTGGAAATTCTCCATTGGTCGCCTTGGAAGGCGCCATCCAAATAAATGGGCCTTGCCTGCTAAAATTAAAAACAAATTTTTGTTTATAGTTTAGTTTTAACTGCTGTAAGTGCTTTAATCGGCAATGCATTGTTATTGCATTGGCAATAAGTAATTTGTGTTCTTGGTTCTTTCGGTAAAGTCACGTAGAAGGAAATAATAAAATAACAATAACCAAGAAGATGAATCCCTGCAGTCACGAAAGCTTTATATCGAAAAGTAATTTGTGGTTAATTGTTGATATTGTATACACTCAAAATAAACAACAAACACAATTGTAATCGTGATTTATTTGTGAGTAGCTGATTATTTCTTGTATATAATTCATTGTTTATTTTCCATCAATGTGCTGATGCTACACAATTGTACACCTCAGTAAAGTCAAATTACGACGTGTAGAGCCTCGGTAACCCCGACGATTACACGTGTGGTTTACACGAAACGAAATAATGCTTAATCCAGGACAAAATTAAATATATTTAAGAAAAACTTGTTTAAAAACACGCTTTTATGAAATGTGCTAAACAGTTTAAAATAAATATTTTCTGTTCAAGTACTTTGCATTATATATGTTTCATATACAGTACTCTTGTTGTAACCGACTAAATAAAAGCGTGGGGCGCGTGTACTATTTTAGAGCAAATATGTCTGTATTCACAATGAGAAGTAAGTGTTCATATCTTGTTAATGTTGTAAATTGAACATAAAGGTTTTAAGCCGTTTATCTTTGGGAATGTCTGCATTGAGAATGCAAAGTAACTGTTCATATGTAGTGAATATCTTATTATTGTATTGTACAGCGTTGATGTTTGTGAATATACCTCGATTGACAATCGCAAGTAACTGGTGATATGTTGGTCATATGTTGTCATGTAAACTTGTAAGTTTTTTTGCCTTTTTATTTTTGTGAATGTCTGCATTAACAATAGAAAGTAACTTGTCATATGTTGGTTATATGTTTTAATTTAAACGTCAAATTTTTACGGCGTTGATTTATGTAAAGATGTCTGCATTGGCAATGGGAAGTAACTATCATATCTTGATGTTATAATTTGAAAGTTTAGTATTTCAGCCGTTTATTTTAGTTAATGTCTGCACTGGCAATGGAAAGTAACTGGTCATATTTAGATAATATGTTGAAATGTAAACGTTAAATGTTTATGGCTTTGATTTGGGTCAATGTCTGCATTGGCAATGGAATGTAACTGTCCATATGTTGTAAATATGTTGTAATTCAAACTGTAAGTTTGTATGGCGTTTTTCTTTGCAAATATGTCTGGATTATCAATGAAAAGTAACTGCTCATATGTTGGTTATATGTTGTAATTTACATGTGTATTTTTTGTAGCGTTTATTTATGTGAATGTCTGGATTGACAATAGAAAGTAACTGCTCATATATTGTGAATGTACTAATTGAAATGTATACATTTTCAGCGGTGTATTTAAGTGATTATGTCTGCATTGGCAATGGAAAGTAACTGGCCATATGTTGGTAATATGTTCAAATGTAATCGTTAAGTTTTTATGCCGTTTATTTTTATTAATGTCTCAATTGGCAATGTAAAGTAACTGTCCATATGTAGTTAATATGTTGTAATCCTAATTGTAAGTTTGTATGGCGTTTTGGTTTGCTAATGTCAGGCTTGGCAATGGAAAGTAACTGGTCATATGTAGTAAATATGTTGTATAATTAGACGTGATGTGTTAAGGCTGTTTATTTTTGTTAATGTCTGCATTGGCAATGGAAAGTAACTGGTTAAATGTTGTTAATAGGTTGTAATTGAGACGTTAAGTTTGTAAGCCATATATATTTGTTAATATGTAATATGTCTGAATTGGCAATGTAAAGTAACTGCGCATATGTTGTTAATATGTTCTAATTACAAGGTTAAGTTTTAGAGGCGGTTTGTTTAGTAAATATGTGTGGATTGACAGTGGGAAGAAACTGCTCATATGTTGTAATTGTTACCGAACGTTTTAAAGGCGTTAATATGAGCGCCCCACATATATAATGCAAAGTATATTTATTTTAAACTTTTTAGTACATTTCATAAAAGCGTGTTTAAAAAATATATATTTTTTATATATTTTATTTAGTACTTTTTGGTGGCATCAAATATTGTTACCAAATTATATTTCATGAATTATGGACAAAAGTTTAAACATTTATAAGTATTAAAGCACTTTGATGAAGGCTAATTGTTCTCTTGATCGGGGTCGTACTTTCTCATTTGTCCCATTTCTTCAAGGGCAGCAGTGTTGCACGGCTTCTTTCATGGAGTAAGTGCGGTGAGCGAGCATCTATGAAAGCTGACAATGCACACGAGGGTGTGGGTAGCCAGCACCACGACCTTTGTCTCCCCAGTGGCGATGTTTACACACAGCACCAGGCACTCATTTGAGGCTGAGTCGACCGAGGGGAAGCCCATGACCGCTTCAGATAATCGTCATTGGTGTTGGCCGTGAGCAGGAATCGAACTCGGGTGGCCGGGTTCGAAGCACAGCGCGCTAACCAACAACACCACCACCGCCATCATCACAATCAAAGACAAAGATCTCCCCTATAGTCTTAACAGACTGTAGGAGCAAGTGCTGTTAGCGAGTAGTAACTATGAAGGCCGGCACGGCAGGACCACCATCAACACCACCACGACTGTCGTCAAAACTAAAGAAAACAGAAGCACCATCCTCGTCATCATTCAATATTCGTCATCAGAGACGTAATTTTAGGGGTTAGATACAATAGGTAATAGCACTTTTTAGGAAGTCACCTAGCATCACCCAGCACAGCACCCAGTACAGTACCCAGCAACACCCAGCACGTCACCCAACACTACCCAGTACAACACCCAGCACATCACCACCCAGTAGAACACTTAACAGAGCACCACCCAACACAACACTTAACACAGCACCACCCAGTACAACACTTAACACAGCACCACCCAGTACAACACCCAACACAGCACCACACAGCACAGCACCCAACACAGCACCACCCAGTACAACACCCAACACAGCACCACCCAACACAACACTTAACACAGCACCACCCAGTACAACACTTAACACAACACCACCCAGTACAGCACCTAGCACTGCCGAGCTGTCATCCCATGAATCCCCGCGTCTCCCCCCCCCCCCCCCGGCCAACTCCGAGCTGCCCCTCCACCCCGTGCTCCCTTCCCCCATCGCCCCTCCCCTCCGTCCACAAACCCCGCCCCTCGGCGAGCCACGCTTGGCTCCGCACGAGCCACTTTACACGCTCCGCGGGCCTCGTGTCTCCGCTACGCCATTAAAAACACAATAATTTACATAATTTTTTTTTAAACACGCTTTAATGAAATGTACGAGTAATGGCAGAACTCCAGGAAATGGCCCCGAGGCTTGCCATAACGTAAGGGACCATGGTGATTTACAGCCAACGTTAGTTGAGCGTGGACAATTAGACCCAAGCTGAAAAATAACATATAAGAATGAATGTTTAAAAATACTTTTTTAAAAATTGATAGAATATAGTATTGTCATCAGTATGACATAAGTATACAAAGTTTGCAGTCAATACCACATTGGGAAGTGGGTTAAAATTGAGTTACAAGATTTCAGGATACGACAACAGACAGAGTGAGTTAAATAAAATCGTGTAAAATGTTTCAAAATATATTTTTGGATTTTTTTATGATATAATATAGTCTTGTCATCAGTATGACATAAGTATACCAAGTTTGCAGTCGATCGCACATTGGGAAGTGGGTAAAAATTGAGTTACAAGATTTGTTAAAGGATACGACAACAGACGGAGTGAGTTAAATAAAAGCGTGGAATAATAACACATTCCTCCTGCGGAGGGAGCTGGTTGGAACATTGGGTTGCTCGGTCAATAGCCAGGGTCAACAGCGACTCGGTGTATTCCGCAAATATGCTCGACTATGAGGGTGGGCACAAGCCGGCGTGAGTAGGTTAAACGTTGAGTTTATAAGGGCACCACGGGGTGACCAGCCCCTCCCCACCCTCCCCTCCCAACCCAGCCCCTCCCCACCCAGCCCGACCCCTCCCATTT